TTCGAGGGTAAAGGGCTACCAACAGGGCTCAAACTGGTTAAATATGTTTAAAAGTTCTGTGGTTCTTTTCAAAATCTCAACTGGAAAGAGCAAAAAGTTTACACTTATTAACTGCCTCCACCCAGTGGTGATGACAGAGAAAAACAACGCATCATGCCCTCCAGTCAGCGCTGAACGTGTATAGCACAAACCCTGCAGATTGGCATTTGTGAACTTAGGGTAAACTTACATGTTTTATATCTCTTGTTCAAACCAGTATAAGGCACTGATTATTATTTTTTTCTTAACTTTAAGCAAAAACCCTAAAGCCAGGAAATGTCTTCAGAAAAAAACCAACTGGGGAGGCTCTCAACACGGGGGCCAGCAGCTGAAGCGGGCTACTGTTTGTGTAAATAAAGTCTTGCTGGCACACGGCCACGCCTGTTTGCTTACCGCTGTCTGTGGCTGCTCTGGAGCTTCAAAAGTTGAATAGTTGGCACAGAGACCCGAAGTTCTGGAAAGCCTGAAATATTTACTACCTGGCCCTTTGAGGAAAAGTCAGCCAACCCCTGAGCATGGCAGTTCTGGATTCAAATCCCAAATCTGCCATTTCTCCTGTAAAATGGGAATGATATCAAAGTAACCACAATACTAGGTAGTGGTGTTACAAGCACAGACAGTGGCTGGGTGAGGGCACCATTTCATTGCCATGTCCCAGCACTTGGCCCAGAGCCGGACACTGAGCAGAAGCAACAGCAAACGGCGACACCAGCTTGCACGTCTGCATCTGGGCTCTGTAGCAGGCAACGTTCTGAGTGTGTTACACGTATAAACTTGCTGAGCCTGTTGACAATCCCGATGCAGGCACTACTCTTGTCCTCACATGACAGATGAAGAAACTGAGGCTTGGAGAGATTAAAAGCCCTGCCCATGGTTGCACAGTGAGTCAGGGAGCTGCAAGCCACCCCATGTCGTCTGGTTCTGGAGACCCCGTTCTTCACCGCTTGGCTACGTGACCAGGCACTCGGATGCTTACTAAAACAATGGCCAAATGAGAATGGCAGTAAAACACTAAAGTGATAAGTCATTTATTTTAAAAGCTGATAAATTAAAAGATGTTTCACTTCAGATTGGATTGCTTATCTTGGAAAAAACTTCAAGCTGATCTATTTAGTTCATGAGGAGGAGGACAAGTAGAAGGGCCTCAACCAGAGCAGACAGCAGGTGATGGTTACAGCTCCACTTCTCCAGGTGTTCTGCTGATGGGGCAGAAATTTCAAATATTTTTTTCCTATAATAGGATTTACTGACTACATCCAATGCCTGGTAATGTGTGGGAGCCTTGCTACAACAGAGGGAAGGGGCAGAAAAGGCAAAACAGAGGAGTAGGCCTGAGTCTGACTCTAGCAAGTCACCTCACCAAGCCTCCGTTTCCTCATCTGAGAGGTCAGGACAATGACACCTGTCTTTCTGGGCACTGGGGCTAGTAGGCTCCACTGAGACAATGTAGGTGAATGTGCTTTGCAAACTGCAAATTTGTGAGCATTAACAATCGAATCTTTTCCTATTCCTGATCAATCTCAGTGTTTCTGAGACATTAGAGGAAAACAGATACAACAGGCACACCTTCAGATAATGGAAGAACGTGTTCTACTAGAGTCCTCCTCCTGAATTTATCACAACTACTAAAGAAAGCCTGATTCTGTTCTTTCATCTCTTCCCTACCCTCTGAAATCTCTCCATTAGCTCAAAGTAAAGGCCTATATTTAAAATGTCCAGAAGCCAGAGCCTTTTTCTTAAAATATCAATTTTCGCGCAGATAGTTTTACTGACAATTTTTTTTTTTTTTTTTTTTCAAAAGATGACCGGTAAGGGGATCTTAACCCTTGGCTTGGTGTTGTCAGCACCACGCTCACCCAGTGAGCGAACCGGCCATCCCTATATGGGATCCGAACCCGGGGCCTTGGTGTTATCAGCACCGCACTCTCCCGAGTGAGCCACGGGCCGGCCCGTTTTACTGACAATTTAATGTCTCTCTATGTAGGTTATCAGGAAAATACTACTTTGGATCAAATTTAAGAATATGCAGAATGTACACTACAAGAGTCAACTCTAATGCAAACTATGCACTTTGGGTAATAACAATGTGTCAATGTAGGTCCATTGATTACGACAAATGTACCAGAGTCTGGTGCAAGGTGTTCATAGTCAGGGAAGCTTGGGAGTGGGGTGAGGGGACAGGGAATATATGGAAACTCTGTACTTTCTACTCAATTTTGTTTATGAACCTAAAACTGCTCTAAAAATAAAGTTTGTTAATTTTTAAAAAAGGCAATATAATGAAAAATGCATCACTTTACTTTCAAAAAGGGAGTTCCAGATACACTCACAAAGACATTCAAGGATGTTCATTACGGCATGGTTTATAAGGGCAAAAAGCAGAAACAACTTATGTGCCCATTCCCAGGAGAACAGTTAAGTACATCATAATACATTCAAACACTGGACTAGCACATAGCACTTAAAAAAGAATAAAGCAAATCTATGTGTGCTGTGAAAAGATAACATAAGACATAATGTTAAGTTAAAAAAGCAAGTTGCAGAACAATATACTTAGTAGATCTCATTTGAGTAAAGATATTAAACTAAAAAGGATAAGTGCAGAGAAAATTCTAGACAGTTACACAAGATACTTTTAAAAGAAGTTACCGCTGAGAAGTAGAAAGGGGCGGGGAAAGCAGACAGAAGAGAACATTTAGTTTTACTTCACCTGCCTTCTATACCATGTCCATTTTTTTTTTTTTACCATGAACAGAAATTGTTTTTATAAAAATGAATAAAAATTAAATGTCAAGCTGATATTTATAAAAGAAACATGTCACCAAGGAAACAGGTCTGCCACTGAGGTATTCTTGGGGTGAAGAAAAGCAATGTTCACTTTACTTTGGACTGTGGGTAAAAGGGCACTTTCTGAAATTGCTGTTGAGGTTTAAAATTTACCTTCAGGCTGCTGGCAAAGTATTTAGTAAAAATACTAGTTAAACCAGCATTTCATAATCTCTTTCAGTCAGCAACAACCAGGAATCTGGCTGGCCTTTGGTTTAGACCGCATGCCCCCCATCACAGAGACTCACGCGCACCCCCTCTCCAGCCCAGGGAGAGCCCCAAGATCTCTCTAGTGAAAACACCTGCAGAGAAAGTGAGGCCCCCACCACACCTCAGCCCACAGAGAATCTCTACATATCAGATTACACTGGTTGGGAAACAATGCTAAATTATAGTTTTTTTTGAGAAGGTCTTTTTTACAGATTAAAATATAAACATATACTTACTTCCATTCATCATTTTGTCTTTAGCAAGTGGGTGTGTTGTAACTTTGCTTCCAAAACCTATTTCATGAGCCAACAGAGCAGTAGGACCTAAAAATAAGATTAATGAAAAGATCTTACTGCAGATAGAGAAAACCCATGTTTTAAAAATTGCAGCAGCAAAAGTATTCTTCAAATTCAAGAGGCTCTTGCCTAAAATATAGTTAGGATTATAAAGATAGGAACTTCTTAGTGTGAGAAGTAAAGTATGTTTATAATAAACCATTTGCTGAGCACATCTGGCAAAGGCATACAAACTCAAAATACTTCGACAATAATTTAATTGGAAAGATTTACACTGAGATACCCATGGAACATACACAGATAAACAAAATGTGCCCCACCCTCACCCCTACAAGAAACAGGGACTGAATATACCAGGAGTACAGGAGGGGGAGCCCACCAAGGGGCTAACTTCTTACCTTACTCTTAGCAAAACAAGACATTTAGTTACATGTTAAAGGCAACCAGCACTCTCTGAACTTCTGGACCTTATTGCTATTTCATAATTTTATTTTTCTCCTTGAAAACGAAAAGTCAACACTCATTCATCCATCTATCCATCCAAATATACCAGGTAGTAGGATTATTAAAGTAAATAGCACATTGCCCTGCCCTGAAGGAGATACCTGTGAAATGCCTAAAAGCCTGAGATACAAAGTCCACTAGAGTTTTTACTAAAATGACTTAAGTGAAGAACCAAGCACCAATGTTAGTTTGTGATACTCTTTGCCCAGCCTCTTAAGATGAAGTCTTTGAAAATAGGCAGCTGCTACCTTGAGATTTTTATCCAAATGTATTCACTGAAAATGGCCAACTTCCGTGATAATCACAGGCACATTTTGTATGTAACAGTTCTCAAATAAGGACTAAAACAAAAAAAGTCTTATACCTTTGTTACCTTACCTTACAACTTCTTAAAAAGTATTTAGTCTACCTTTTTTCTCTAAGCCACACATACAAAAATTCTTTCTAAGGCCTCATGTCACACTTCATCCTTTAGAACAGCACATTGACCTTCTAAATGCTTAGGGCACTGTGGGTGGCTAAGACACTATGATACAATCTGTACACTTTTAGCTTCAGCAAACCTGAAGACTTGGTTTTACTGACCTCTCATTTTTCAACATGATTCCTAGGAAAAAGTAGTTATATAAAATAAGTACAGGCTGCTCAGTTCATAGCCTTTACAAACAGGAAGATGAAACAAATAAGACCTAATTACATAAGCCTTCTGCCTACTATCAGGTGTCAGTTTCAGACCAAGTCCTGACTTATACCTCTTAAATCAAAAGCCTCAAATGTCTCTCTCCACCTTACTTTTATTCTACATATAAGATAGCTATGTATTGTACCAAATTTTAAAAGTCTATAAAAACTGAATAATTATCACTCAATTTTTACTTGAATGGATTCATAAATTATCTTTCTTTAATTCTTATTTGGTAAGATTTTAAGAAATAAGAAATTCCTACGTTATTTTAAAGTAAACTACAACAGACGATCCAACAGTGAGGAAAGGGATCAGACAGTGAGTTAGCAATTTTTAAGTTGCTCCCTTCAAGGTGATAAAATTGCTACCTACAGTAATGTTAATACATTTACATTACAGTTGGATGTAGGAATTTACTGGTCTTACTCATCATGGTAAGCTCATAATTACTGCTTTCTGGGGCTTAAGAATCCTATCTGGAAAATCAGACAACAGATATTTAATACTCCTCTTACTTGAGATTCTGATGGATGAAAATGTTGCCCAGTCTGCACTAGAAGTCCAACTCTGAGCAAGGAGCTGAGGGTAAAGTTAATTGAATCCCCTCCTGCAGTCAAGAGGTTAAAGCCAACAGTGCCACGCTGTGGTGACTTACAAAAAGAACACCTCCACCAACTCCCCAGCTCCTCCAGGCATCCAAGACCTTGTTCGTAGAGGCCTTATGCCTAGGCCTGTGCATCTCACAACTGCCACCTCTTTCATCTCTGAGCTTCCTTCCCTCTCCCCTGCTCAAAGTAGATCTCATTTCATTTTCTTCTCAAGACAGTCTCCCAATTCACTCAATTATCAGGAGCTAAGCTAATATTCTTTCAGTTCAAAAGTTCCCAATTCCTAACTGCAACACTTTGGAAGAATAATCTTAATTTTTGTTTGCTGACTTAATAAACCTAAATCTCTTCCATCATTTCTCTGTTCCACTCCCATCACCCTCATCTCCCACCTGAGTTACTGCAACTTATTTCAATGTCACATTTTCCTGGTTTTTTTCATAGCATCCAGAACAGTGGTGCAGGGTATTCAACTGTTAAACACACCGCTAAAGTGTTGTTTATTTTTTAATGTTGATTTAAATTATTATAAGGTCCACACTTCTTAGCATGGCATTCAAGCTTGCCTGAGCACAGAACAGTGAACCAGATGCGGCTGATAGTTTTGCTGCTTTAGTGATGCAGGACAAACTGACATACGGTTTCTACTTTCAGCACAGTCAGCAGCAAACAAACCCAGCCCAAACCCCTATTTTCTTCCTTTGGTCAGAGCACCTAAGAATGAGCCTAGTTTCACAGCAGCAGACTAGTCAAAGAAAAACAAACTCACAGGATCTCTGACTTTGTCCCCAAAGAGGGGAACAGCTGCAGTGCCCTTCAGCAGGGATAACCCCTGTGCCCAGGGCGGTCAAGAGACTAGTGCTGACTGGAACCAAAAGACAGGGCCTGCCAAGGAAGCTGCCTCTGTGCCCTTCCCACTCTCTAATGTCGCAGTTCTCAAACACTCAGGTCTTAGGGTCCCTTTGGATTGTATGTGGTTACATTTATCAATATCTGCCAAGTTAGAAATTAAAACTGGGAAATTTTTAGAACACAAGAATACATGAGCGCACATGTCATATGTGAATGACAGCATCATCACACCAATATCACTCCTTCAAGAATGAGAAGGAACAAAGTAAATGACATAGTATTATCTGCTCTGACCTTACGAATGCCTAAAAGAACTTCGAGAACTGCTGCTCTAATGCAAAGTCCCTAAGATCCCAAACCCATAACTTATTTTAAAAAGCCTACTGTATTGAATAAACATCAACATGTCATTTTATCAAACCACCCATTCACTCATTCCTTTACTCAGTTGCTCTTCTGACAAGCATTTAATAAAGATCTACATGGCAGGCACTGGCAAAAATTGCACTATGGAAAAAATGCAAGATAGCAGAATGCTATCTGATATTAAAGCAATAAGGATGGATTTTAAAATATCAGAAAACAAAATATTACTGCATTTCAAAGACGTGGGGACATATATGAAGCACCCAATAACTTATTCGAAATTATGTGGTAGATAATACTATGCCCAAGATCACTCAGCACTGAGAATGAGAACATGGCCAGGAAGCGGTGGAAGGCACCCTGAAGTTTCTGAATGTGCAGGGCAAGCACAGGGCAGAGCTGTTGTGTTTATGTCTGACAGATTCTTGCTGACTGTGTGCTGGCAGAAATACTTTCTGGCACAGAGATTTGCTGTAACAAGCTGTTTACTGAATTCCAGAGGGCCTTATTTTCCTCTGAGGTCAACCAAACACGGAAAGCACTAAATTTCAAAGAATGTAGACCAAAGTCATGGAGAGGCAGAAAACAGAACAATTATACTCATTTCTGAAATGACACCAACCTCATGCCATGCAAACTAATACACCAACACAGATGCCCTTCATGCTTTATGAAAAGGAAGAGCTGTTTGGAACAAAACCTTATAATGAAACGACACATTCTAACCCAGGCTGCTCCCGCACAGTACCTGCACAGATGGCAGCTATGAGGCCCTTCCTGTTTTCTTGTTCCTTCAGTATCTCTTTCACAGCAGCAGACTAGTCAAAGAGAACCAAAAATAAATCATGTTATCAATATATCAAGCCACAAATCAACCTCTCACTAGGAAACTTTGGCAGAATCTGATTTTAGCTTAAACCACAGATCTTCAATCTATTTTCCAACAATATTTCAACATCATTAATATAAAGTTATTGAATCTGTAATGTGTCTATATTCTTAAACCCAAGGCTTATTTATCGTAAGAGAAAGGCATCCCTCCATGTTTAAAGATGAGCAGAAGAAAGCAATTTCCCTCGGGCTCATTAGACCCTTGCCATTTTGCACTCCAGGGAGCAAGAAACAGAAGTGGGGGAATGTGGCATTCTGGGTGTTTTCAGATGGCAGAGTGAGGAAGAGACTCTGGCAGGAGCAATCCCAAATGTCTGATTCAACCTGCTTCATGAGTTTTTCCATCTGCCTGGCTTCTCTGCCGTCAGCCGACTCCTCACAGGAGACATAACATGCAGCTCAGCGGCCTCCTCTGATGCCAGTTTCCACTCAGGCTGGCAGTTCTAGCCCTGCAGTCTCCCCTCAACCCAACTGCTGCATACATAGCCAGTCTCTTATCTTTCTATGCTTAACCCTCACAAATCACAGAATCAGATCATTCTGCTCCTGTTGGGGAGGAAAGTAAGTAGTCTTACTGTGGACTGTATCCAATGCATTTTTTGCATAAAAAATTGTTCTACCAATTTAGCTTACTTATAGTAACTGTTATTAGAAGTCTTTTTCTAATTAAGGCTAGAACACCATTTTGTTAATTTTAGTTACTTCTATTTTATTCACAACCACCTCCTTGAAGTATCTGAATAATAACAAAATCAACAGAACACAAGCAGATGTTGAAATACGTTCTAGAGAATCCCCCTCTCCAGCTGAGGTATAAATGAGTAGGTTTTTACCTCAGATAAATTCTGTGCACCCAGATTACCTCCTGGTAGAACCACCACATCATATGGTCCCTGTAACAGTTTAAAAAATAAAACAAGAAAGTGAAAATCATTTCAAATGTGCATTGAAGTGACAGTCCAAGAACACATATTTTAAATATGTGATACAAGCGAATATGGGATACAAGCAAATTACACATATTTTAAGTATGGGATACAAGCAAATTACAGGAGAAAATCTAAATATCTGTCAATAGAAGAACAGTTAAATTAAGGTGTATCCATATGGTAGAATGTTGTTGTAATTAGCAAAAAATGCAGAAAATCTGTATATAGTAACATGAAAGGATGTCCATGTTGCAAAGTAGCAGGTGTATATATAAGCTCATTCCTATAGAAGACAAAAATATATACAGTACATATACGCACAGAGGTATGTATATGTGCATATAAACATTACATATACACCCCTCCCTGCCCCCCGCCGCACATATGAGTAAACAGGTACTCAGAGACAAAGGAGAAACTCCAGCTGCTAATGGGGAGTACTATGGGATGGAGTGGAGGGGAAAAGAGAGAATGAGAACAGGACTTAACATTCTGACTTTATAGATGTGTATATTGTGTTTATTATTCTTCAATAAGAATGTACATAGCAATTAAAAAATTAAAAAAACAAATTTTAAGTAAAAGGTGAAAAAAAATATTTTTAACTATGAAAATGGAATTTGAAGGGTAGAGGGTAATGAGACAATATTACAGTATTCAAAACATCCTAAAAATCTAATTAATTTCAAATGTGCTGAAATCACAAAATAGAAATTGTTTTAGTGATACTTCAAGATGTAAAAAAAACTCAGTCATTAAACAAATTACAAAATGAAAATTTAGTATTTAGTGTACATATACTTTTTAGAATTACTTTTTAAGACCATAAACATCTTACTGTTGTTTTTAAAACCAAGCAAAAATTAAAACAAAATAGAAAATATGAAGTATAGAATTTCTTTCACTCATTTTAGAATCTGAAATGAACAATACATATGTACAAAAGGTAACCACTGTTCTAAAATACCTAGACACCACAGAACAAAAATCCCCAAAAAACAAACAAAGAAGGAATATTTACTCCTGCTTGCTTTTAATACACAGAAAGTTTCTACAGTGTATATGTAAATACCAATGTTCTAATTCTCCACAATCTAGCAAAGAAATATTTGAATTTATTAGGAAGGAATAAGTTTTATTCTATGCATTTGAGAACATCTAGGCATGGGTACTCATGCTCTGGCCTCCTCAGTAGGGTACACACAGCCATTCATGAGCTGGTTCTGCCTCCTTTCCTGCCATGTCTCTGCCCCAAGAGGGTACAACCAGCACTCCTGTCACTCTGGCCCGTTAAATCTGAGCCCAAGACAGGGTGTGCAAAAGGATCTGTGCATGGGCTTGTTTCTAAGGAAAGGGATCCCAACTCCCACAAATTCCCAGTAGTGCCCATCGCCCTTAAAGATAAGAATCATAATTCCAAAGATATTGAAAAAGTGACACAATTTAAGTAGAACTCTTATTCTTTCCTTAATCCAACCACTAATCAGGTATAAGTTGTTCCATGTAAAATGAATCACACAACTACATGTGTGTCACTGTAAAAGGAAGGGTAAAAAGTAGTTTTAGAAAAAAACAAGAAATAAATGGGAAATGTGACAGGTGATTCTCTTAGGTCAGGCAAAAAAGTTATAACAGGAGGCAAGAATGCCTGTATAAGCCAGAATACTTATGAAAGAATAATGCTCCCACCCACCCAGCCACCCATCCATCCACCTTTCCATCTACCCACTCATCTTCCATCCATCTAAGCAATCATCCATCCACCCTTCCATCCATCTAAGCAACCATCCATCCACTCTTCCACCTATCCATCCATCCATCTACCTACCCGCCCTTCCATCTAAGCAATCATCCATCTCCTCTCCCACCCACTTACTGAGGACTTGCAGTATCAAACAATTGCCAAGTTCTATGGATATAGAGTAGAAAGGCAAAGTCCTTGCTCTCCCAGTTTAGCTTAGTGGGGAATACTTCCAAGCAAAATAATTTCCTCAAAATAAGTCTGTGCTAACAATAGTCTTAGACATACTCAAAAGACACTAATAAGCCATATGAAGGAATCATTCCATTTATGGAGAACAAACCTGTTTTTTTGCATCTTCAAGACTGGCATCAGGACAAATGACAACATCACGGCTACACGGTACTGGGTCTTTTCCAGCCAGACCTGCAATGGTGACCTTAATCTAAGAGAAAGACATCATCATGATATTTAAGAACACTGAAACATAAATCTAGAGTAACATTTTTACAGCTGTCCTATGTTTTAAACTAACTTGAGGGCCGGCCCATGGCTCACTCGGGAGAGTGTGGTGCTAACAACACGAAGGCCACGGGTTCGGATCCCATATAGGGATGGCCGGTTCGCTCACTGGGTGAGCGTGGTGCTGACAACACCAAGACAAGGGTTAAGATCCCCTTACCGGTTATCTTTAAAAAAAAAAAAACACAAAAAAACCAAACTAACTTGAGAGGAAATACTGTAACAAAACCATGCTGAATTTAAGCTCATATGCTGGATAAGTATACTTAATAAGTAGGTGTGTCCTAGGCAAACTGCAATTTATAGCTGCTGTCCCTGCACTCTGTCTGAATGCCCTTTTTAGGATGCCCTTTCTCCCACAAGTGTTCTGGTTTGGGCAATAAACTGTACTATGATCCTATTATTCACGCATCTTGCAAGGTTTCTGTTGACATTTAAACCTCATGTATTTTCATAAGGTAGAAATGCAAGTTAAAACTATGAAATATGACTTTGTCTTACAAAAAATTTAAAAGCTGACAATACCAAGAGCTGGTAGTGGAAAAATGAAAATTTTCATACACTGCTGGTGGAACTACAAATTGGTACAATGGAAAGCAACTTGGCAAAATTTAACAATGCCAACTGTGGGCTATCCTTTAGCAATTCCACTTTTAGGTATAAAAACAGAAAAAACTTTCAAACATTTGCACAAGGAAACCCATACAAGAATAATATTACAGTAATGTAATGCTGTAATTCGAAGAATGGATAAACTGTGATACATTCATATAATAAAATTCTAAGCAGCAATTTTAGCTGAATAAAGTGGATCTACATGTATCTTCATTGTTGAGAATCAGAGGAGTATAGGGCTAACAGACTTGGGGGTCAGACCGCCTGGGTCTGAGTTCTCTTCTACTAACTCTGGAACATGGCACGTTATTTAGTGTCACTGTGCATCAGTTTCTTCAACTGTAAAATGAAGGTGGCAATATCTAATGCCCAGCGTTGCTGTAAGGTTTACATAAGTATATAAGTAAGTGCTTAGAATAATGCCTGGTGCACAGAAAGTGCTATTTAAGTACTCACTATTGTTATAAATATATTTGTTATAAATATATGTATTTATAAATATATGTATAACTCACTATTGTTATAAATATATTTGTTATACATATATTTGTTATAAACATATGTAACATGCAGAATGAGAACCGCAGTCTAATGCTACTTTAAAGATATGCATGGGATGGATACACACCAATGGGAGGACAGCATTCTAGGGAAGGCAGAAGGAGTACAGGATTAGGGAGATTTACAAAGAGTGCTTTTCAAGTGTATGTCTCTAAAGCATTTGTTCTTTAAGAAATGCATCTGAAAATGTAGCGAAATCTTAACAAGTATTAAATGTGGTCAGTGGATAAACAGATATTATATAATCTGTACTTTTCCATACATTTGAAATATTTCGTAAAGTAACCTATTATTTTATCAAAAATTACTTTTTAAAGTGAAATAATTTTAAAAACAAGGAGGTCTAGAAAACAGTGGGGCACTTACCCCAGCTCGTCTCATGACATCTACAGGGATGACTGTCTCCATTTCTTCTGCTCCCTTAGCCAGGATGACCAGAGCTCTTTTTGAAGCCATTTTTATGATATTTTTTAAAGACTGAGAAAACAAACAAAAAAGACTTCAAAGACCTTTCATTGCAACCCTGGAATATCCCAAAATTTGAAGTTTAGGAACATTTTCTTTATTTTTTATCAGCACCACACTCTCCCAAGTGAGCCACGGGCTGGCCCCGTTATTTAATTTTTAATTTATCAGTATACAATGTACTTGATTTTTGTGTCCTTTTACCAATTCCTCCTTTTTTCCTCTCTCTCCCTCCCCTTCTCCCCACCCCCAAAGTTTAGGAACATTTTCAAGCAGAGAACTATGGGAAAGATTCTGACAGCTGAACACAATATGGAAAAAAGCATTTTATGTTAATATTGGTTTACATAGTAGTTTCAATTGCTCTATTTCTGAGACAAAAACAGTGAGGTTGCTAATGTGTTAGTATTGTTTAGAATTTCATTTGCCATGTTTTCTTAAATCCAATTTCTGGTAACATATTGCAAATGTAGTTTTCTGAAGCACAAGCACGTAGGTCTTGCATTTCACACAATGCGGGGAGACAGTCATTTTTGAAGTACAATTTCATAGAGAAATTCATGGGTAAAAATTTAAATACATAGTATTTAGCAACTAGCCTATAAGAGTTCTGGAGGGGATTTTTTTTTTTTTTAGTTCCAATCATTGTAATAAAAATTGGGGGTGGGGAAGGGGCTAACAGTGTTAAATATCTGAACCTATTTCTTTATGATCGGGAAAGACGGAAATTCCCTTCACTGATGTCAACCTAACTAGATTGTCCCTGCACACAGCTCTCACTGTGCAAGATCGCAGCTACGCGTGGTTCTGAATCATTTTTAGCCCACGTTTCTGGAGAGGGTGCCGTCTATGCAAAACAGACTTGAACGCAGTTAGCCACTTCCAAACCGGTGAGACGACATCCAGAAAATTCTGGACGCTTCTGCGTTGCTACTACGCGGGCTGTCAAAAGTCAATGCACGTGCTTATGCCAGAACATGCAGGTCTATCCGCCGCGACAGACGCCCAGGGGGCGCGCCGGCTCCAGGACCCCTAGGGGGGCCGCGACGTGGCTGCGCGAAGGCCGCACCCTGCCCAGGCCGCGCGCCGGGGCTGGGTCCAGCGGGACTCCGGCCAGCCGGGGGGCCCAGAGCCCCGACGCAGCCCGCAGCGCCAGCCCAGGCCCTGACCTGCACCCTGCGTCTCTCCCTACAGTCGCGGCGCCTCGGCCGGTTCCCCGAACCTGACCGATGGGGATCGCACTCACCCCAAACCTGACTGACGGGAACGCACGCCACCACGCACGCGCGCAGCCCGCCTTGCCCCTCAGCCGCGCACTGCGCAGACTCGCGCCGCTTCCGCGTCTGGTACGTCACATCCGGCTGATCCCACCTCGGAGCCCGGCGCGGGGGCGGGGGTCCAGCACCACGGGGATCCTGCGGCTTCAGTCGCACGCACCCCACCCCACCCCGCGAATGGCACAGTCTGGCCTGCCCGGGGCGCCCGCTGGGTTCAACCCGCTCCCGGCGGCGGGCGATGGAGCCATCCCGGTCCCCAGCGCGGCTGCGGCTTCTTTCAAGCACTGATTTTGATAAAGCAGGTTCGTTTCTTCTGTGCAGGTTGTTCCTTCACGTTTCTTCTGTGCGCTCCTGGAACGCCTTCCCGTTTCGCCCCCGACCTGTTAAGACTCTTCCAGCACTTCCCGGGCCTGGCTCCCGCACGCTCGGTCACCCGGTCTCGGGGGACTCTGGAGCTTTTATTCACACGTGGTCATCTCATAGTGTCAGTTTCTCTCTCAACGTTGTGTTTTAAAAGTTCCTCGTGCTGCATCCACAGGATTACAGCAATGCTGGGCACATAAGTCTAATAAGTACTAAATGGGCTAAATCTATTTACGTTATAACCCCCAATTTTATTTTTAAAACGTTTCTGAATATCAATACTTTCAGCAGTTTCAAAAGTCAGGACGATAAGGGTTAACATTGAGCATTGACTCTCGTACCTGTCCCCGCACAGTTCCATCTCCACGCCCTACAGGCAACCACGCTGTGATTTTCTTGTGCATCCTGAGGTAGACTATGATTTTCCCTGTCACATAACAACGAAGTAGACGGTATACACTATTCTGCACCTGCCCCCACACACATCCACACACTTATTAAGTGAGTATCTTGGGATCTCTCCATATCAAAAAGAGCTTCCTCATACATTTTTTTTCCAGGTAGTATGCCATTGTGGGCATGTTCCATAGTTTGTTTAGCGGTGCCCCACTGATAACAGGTTATTTCCAATTGTTTTCTGTACAGACAGCACTGCATTGAATAACCTTAAGTATATGACCTGCTTGTGCAAGTATAACTGGAGGGTAAATTCCCAGAAGTGGGAAATACATTCGAATCACTCCATACAAGTTGAACCTCTTAGCACTCTCACCAATAATATATGAGATCAAACTATATTTTAAATATGTCAGTGTTTTTAAGGCTTCAATTCAGATATTATAAAATCACGTTTATTTTCAAGATATAATTTTACCTTTGTTGGTTTACAAAGGACTTATATATATTTCACGTGATTCTTAAAATGGTGGTGAGAGTGCTCTTTAATTTGAAAAATTGTAAATTTAAAGTCATTTATGCAACATTGCACTTGTGCAAAAATTTGAAATATCTTTATTTGACATTTTAAGAGGAAAGTGTTTTAAGAGTTCTGGAATGACTTCACCTTTGGCTATTTGCAAAGGAAACAGGCGAAAGCGACACCTTTTCAGATTTGGAGTGTGAAAAATAGTAGTGACAGAGAGGTGGGGAGGCAAGTGGTTAGAGATGTTCTGCAAAACCAAGGAGGCCCTGGAGTGGTCAGCTACCAAAAAGAACTGAGGAAGGATTCAGATAGATGTAAGGAAAACCAAAAGAAGACGGGTTGTGTTGCGCCAGTTTCCATAGTAAATTCTTTATTTTTTACTCTTTTTTTTTTTACATTCTGTGTAACGAGAGCCAATAGTAAACCAACTGGTGTTCTGCTGCAGCATGAAACAGCCACAACAGAGTAAATGTGGCAAGACAAATGGTTCAGCAGAGAGAAAGAATGAGAACCAACCCAGTCAACACTCCTGAAACATCTACATCACTGTCAAGATCTGAAATACGTTGCAGTTTTTTTTTTTTTTTTTTTTCCTTTTTTGTCTCTTTTTTCATGACCGGCAACGGATCGCAACCCTCAGTGTCGCGCCTGTACGGGACCGGGACCGGCAACGGGATCACAACCCTCGGTGTTGCTCCCGCACCTCGCTCAGCCAGTGAGCGGCCGGTCTGTATATGGGATCCGAACCCTCGGTGGGGGCGCTGCCGCCCCCCCCAGCGGCGGAACGATGCCAACGCCCCCCGGGCGGGCGCGCCTCTTAAAACTTTTAAACCTCCATTTGGTTTTAGAG